GTTTTCATTTTAGACTTCGTAAAAAATTTATCCAAATACATTACATTGCAATATTGTTGGAACATTTTGTTGCAATATAATAAAAAGACATCTTAACATTGTTGGAATTTTGCAACAATGATTTAGCAATGTTTCGCAACTACCATGCAATATTGCAATGTTTCAATGAAATCATTCTGCAATGTTTCTGCAATCTTTTTGTGCTGTATGGGATTTAATTTTTCAATTTGAAAAATTAAACAAAACAAAAATAAAGTTACATTCGATTATTCATCGACGCGTATATCTCTACCCGAATCTCGTGGAACAGATGTTACTAAAATATTTTTTTTTGAGGAATGCATAAAAACGAATCATAACTATTTGCTTTATAATGCTGCATAGTTCAAGACTTTTATGTATTTCGCAATTTATTGAAAAAAATTATTTCACTCTTTATTCAGTACAATATATTGTAGGTACGCGGTGTTAGGGGCTCCGCACAATAAAAGGAATAGGGAACAGAGAATTGAAAATAAGAATTTCAATCTATTAGAAACTGTGTATTCCACAATACATAATTACATACAGAGTCCCTTAGGTGCTTCTAAAACGTGGCGTCCCTCCCCCCCCCATGTCGAACTCGCTTACCGTATTTCACCGCCTCTGATTACTTGTTATTGATTTGCAAAAGTAATTCGTTATTGTTACCATCATTCAAAATGTAATGAGTCGTTACTTTTTATATTAACAAATAAATTTCTTACATTACATGTCGGTTTTGAATCGTAATACTTTTTTGCATGTGATGATACAAAAACAGAGTTCTTATTAGATATCGCTCGTCGTATCCTATGTATAATAGACATTAAAGTCTCTATTTTCTATTTCTTGTAAATGTATTATATAAATGTAAAGAAGTAAACTATATATAATTTTGCTCGTGTTTAGCTATATGTTCCCAACACCTTCGATGCATCATATTTCATATTGCCATCGAAAGGAAAGTACAGAATATTTATTAGTTAAGTTACAAGATATTTATTAGTTTGTAAAATATTATTCTAAAACAAATTTTTCCTGTAAACTTGAAATCAAAATAATATATTTGACGAGCATACTGCTAACATAAGATGCTGTTTGGAAATAACAGTTTTAAATTTATCACTTATCTGTGATGTCACACTTTGACAATTTTGATTGGTCGCATGCGTGTAGCATTCGCGTGGGATCTGGCAACACTGTCAAAAGCACGTTGTGAGTTGCAATTGTTAAGTTGTGTTGTTAAGTTGTAACTTGGTGTGTGAGCACGTGTTTTGTATGAATTCACGAAGCTCATATAAAAAATGGGTGATATATCACGGCCACAACGAATTATAATCCGCAATGCACAGCAGGATGAATCAAAAATTCCTTCCTTTGTCACGAAACGCGATCGTATAGCGAAACAATATCATATTATCAGAAGTTGGAAACCATGGAGTGATGTGTACATAACCCCATTACATTATTCTCTATTAAAAAGCCACATTTTTCTCTCAATAACACTTTAGACGATTTGTTTTATGGTTCAAACCCGTTAGTGTGGGCACAAGAATTATACAAAAAAAATTTTCTTCACCTGATAAAACAATAAATCCTTTAATCTAGATGGCCATTAATAGTTGGACGCGGTATTCTGATCAGCACGACGGTGATCACTAGTCTTTATTTGAATCACCGATTTAGAGCGAGGATGAAGATCCGAAATTATGGGACATTACTTACAGTATTAGGTCTCGCAGTATCGCCAGCTGCAGTGACAGGTGTAGTCCATACGGAGGTATTGACGGAAAAACCGATTAAATTCCTATACAGTATGATGTCCAAAGGACGCTTTAAAGACATCTAGAAGACATCCCTATGTCCTCTCTCTATAGCTCTGGATGTATCAAAGTAGTGCAATTCTTTTATCTGAGCCAAATGCTAATAACTTTTCTCATTGGCTATTTTGACCACTATTTTGGACTTAGTCTATTGTCCCATAAGTAAATAATAAATAATATCTAGTAAGCGAGAATGGATTAAAATGAATTGAGATTTTAGTTCGTTTCAATCCATCCAAATGCTTGGTTTATTTTTACTTTTTTTATATTTAATTGGATAGAAAAATTTTTTTTTCTATAGATATAATTGGATTGAAAAATTGTATTTCCTATTCAAGGTTTTAAATTGAGCAGTATTCATGATGCATTTAAAGAACTGAAATTTTGTTTTATTTAAAGGCATAGAAATATGCTTTATGCAAATCTTATAAATAAATAAAAATGCATTGGAATTAAAAAGGATTTATTTCAATGTTCGCAAACATACTTTCAAAAATCTAAATTCATTTCAATTCATTTTTCTTTACAGAATAAGTAAGCTCAATACAAGGCTAAGTGAATAAACCTAGATAACCTAAATAAGCTTAGTAAATTTTTAATATGGTTATTAGGTTTCTCAATACATGCCTTTACATTACTCTGATGCATCTAGACCTCTATTATGAATTTCTTATTATGACATTTTCAGGATGTCTCTTGAATAAAGTATGTTGCATGGGTTGAACCAGCTATCCGAGCAAGGAGTTTGATAATACAAAATATTATATATCTTTCAGTTGATCATGAATAAGCTATTATTATTAGAGATATCATGTCCTCTATGCATGGAATCCAAGTCTGCTTTGATGCAAACTTGTAGCGGAGTGTTTTTGCCACTGATACTTGTACCGTTTGCAAACTTCTCAGTAAGTGACAAAATTTTGCTCTCTATTACTGTTTTTCGATATTGATATTCTTTTGATTAGTTTTATTACATCTTATACGAATCACAGATTGCTGCTGGCAGTGGAATATATAATGTGCCACACATAACTGACATAAGAGGAATATTTAGACGCGTCCTAACAATCTATCAGCCAATATTTCCCAAGATTGCAATGATGTTCACTTTTCATGCGTTAGTAGCTGGTTTTATAACATATTCAGAAATCAAATCTTACCTTCGAATGTTAGATATGCAGTATTTAATAGAAGAAGAAAAAGAGCAGAAATTTAAAAATAACATTCTTTGAATTTTATAATATTATTGTATTATAGTACGAGAGATATTGTATATATAATTGTAGTAAAATATATATACATATAAAATTGAAAAAATATATGATATTTTTAGTCCATTCTATATTAGATCAATATTTAATAATATTATAAGGACAACAGAAGAATATAAAATGTATTTTGTAGAATATAAAATGTATTTTTATTTCATCATTGACATAATATTATAAGATGTCTAGTTATAATCATTCACTGATATTCACTATGCGTCTCGTACATATCTATTCCTTTTCTCAAAATTAATTCAATGTCTAGGCACCATATGATTTGTTACAATAATAAACGCTTTTCAACTGTTTAAAAAGATCGCTGCTTTAAATGTTGATAATACATACGACTTTTCTGATTTAAGAGAATTTTTCCATATAATGTTGATTCACTTATTTAATATAAAGTTTAACTTACTTAATATCGAGTCAAACGTATGTATTATTTTATATTAATATTAAATATAATACGAATTTACTTATAGGCTCAAGTAAAATAGCAAATTCGATATTTTCAATTACTCCGATTAGATACATATTTCATCGTGAAAAAATCTAGAAGTATTTTACACAGACTTCCAATATTTAATAGATGGGAATTACGACCGAGGTCAAATTACGCTTATTCTTTTATTATGTTAAACGAACTATTTCAACGTCATATAATTAAATTTGGGAACTTCTTGAATTTCTATCCCAGCTTATACAAACGAAAATGAAGTATTCTTATTTTATATGCCTATATTATACATTTTTCTACATATTTTAATTAGAAAAAAAAAGAAATCTCTTCATATGATTTGGTTTCTAAAGTCAAATTGGGCACAGGTGACCACAGTTTTGATTTGCCAACTACTCTAGAATTAAGTATATTACTGGCAGTTTACTGGACGTCATACAGGGGCCCGAGTAGCAAGGAGATCCCAGGAACTATGTGTATGCGATAAGAATATATAAAAGATAACACCAGATGCAGACGCATCAATTCAACCAAAGTACAACAATATGATCCGTTTATTCTTTCGGTAGGAGTAGGATTTGTATAATACCTACAACAATGGTTATGTTGGCAGTGAATGAAATCAGCTATCATATAGCCGTGGAATCTAAGAAGCAAGACAGTTTAATATAAAATATGCCTGAACTTTCTCTCTCTTCTATTTATATGTGACAATGCTGTTTAACATACGCATTTAAGGTACATACACTGACAGATTTTCATTTTCTGTGCCATTTCACGAAATGCACGTTAGCCGTAATTCAATTGCATCTATAGTAGTACATACAACTGTATTTTTGCTCTTTTCCATATTACTACTTTTAAGTTGGAAAAGATTTTAGTTGAATGTCATTATAATGAATGAGTCATTACCATGATTTGCACAGCAATCAACATCACAATGAGATCGTCATTTTTGTTTTAATGTCTTACACCTATATATTATATATCTATATCTATTTTTTGTTAGTGATGTAGTGATGTAGTCCATTGCTTATTTACAGTAGAGGTCCCATTCTAAAGTTATCTACCGATATAGATTAAAGCAAATCATAATAAAAGTTTTTAAAATTAGACATAATTTTTAGAAATTAAATTATTGTTAGTATAACGATCCCTTTGCTGTAATAAAACTTTGGACTATAATCAAAACATTTAAAACTTCATTGTAGGAATGGTATAAATATGTAACATTAAAAATTTATATGACATATCTACATGTCATTTTTATGTTTCTTGTCCACATATGTTAATAAAAATAGATAAAAAAAATCAATGTCTATAAAGAAAGCAGTAAGTGTCTATAAAGTAAGACAGCATTTAATAACAATAATGGGTTTTCTACAAAATAAGCCACAATTTAAGTTTATTAAGTTTTAAGCCATAAGAAATTGACTAATCACAGCCGATTATTCTCCTCACATTCGACTGTGATTGGTCAATTTCTTATCTCAATACTTAAAGTTTAGCTAATGACTTATTGTAGAAAGCACATAAAGGTAGCACAGATTTTAGTATAATGCATAAGAAAATCAATGAGAATCTTTTATTTCATTATTGATTAAAGAAGAAAATGAAAGATTTTGATTGGTTCATTTTTTGCATTATGCATTGTGCAAGACTCCATGATCCCATCCTAAAAGAAAAATTTATACCATTGATGCAAAGAAATTTTGTTCAGATGTTATAGTAGTGTTATTGCGTCAAATATTACGCAAATATGAATAATTAACGATTACATTAGATCTTAGAAAGAAAATAACTTTTATGCGTTCTACATAATAGTGCATCTATATGTTTTACAGAATATTCCAATTAAATATTTTTCCTTAATTATTAAAAAAAATCAAAGTATTTCATTGTGCTCACAAGTATTTGCTGATAATTTAAATCTGTAATGTAAACAGGCGACTATGATAAATTTGTACATTATAGAATGAATGGACTAATATAGTCACAATTAATTATAAATAGTATTATGTATTCGGAAATTTTTTGTTACTCGTCACAAATCTAATATGAATATCTAATGTTCTAGCATGATGGCATAATGGCAAAGCTACAATTGTATAGTATTTACATTATAACAATCAATGGCTAGTCATATATTCGACAGCAAACTGAACTTACATTGTTGCTTGCAAATAGATTTTCGTTTTCAGTTCAAATTTAACAATCATAAAATTGTACAATCTTGAGAACAAGAATCTACCATATACAAATGTTTCTTATGCCGACAATATTATTTATGCTTACAACAAATATTTTGGAAGAACATTGCCACCATACTGAAGATTATATTTTCGCATTTTTTTTCACAGACGAATAAATCGCATAAGAATAGCTAACAATGAAAGAAAAAGAGACAATAAATGCTGCAATAAACAATCAAAATGTATAATCAATTCAAGCAACAGACGATGATACATAACAGCCACCTTCAGTTATATTCGTTTAAGCATTTAATTCATTTCTTTGCATTACAAAAGTTTGTAAGGAATAACGATATAGCGTACTGAAGGATGCAGTATGCACAATTTCATCAGAATGGCGGATAGTTTTGCATAGGTACCACAACCGGAGGAATTGGTGGCAGCGGAAGTGTATGTATAAATGTGGGGTGATTCGGCTGAACCATAACTAACGTATGCTGTTGATTGGCCATGAAAGAATTATATTGAGTGGTACTGTATTGTGAGTAAGATGCGTTAACTGTATCTGAAATATTTTTATAACAAAATGTGCCGGGCGTTTGGCAAGGTAGGGGCCCTTGGATAGGACCCCAAGCCAGCTGCTAGCATCGCCGGTTATGCCAATGTGTCATGTAGTCTTGATAGCTTACAGTAATCTTCTCGCTCTGGTATCGCGTCAGTTTTACACTGCGTCTAATATCTGGTGTAACTAAGCCTTTGTAACCACCCTTATGTAATAGCGAGTCTATAGTTTGTATCTGGTCCCAACCTAAAAAAAGTGTCAATTTAGTGGAGACAAAAGCATACTTAAAAAATATGATGATTATAATAAGAATAGTTCCATAGCACACGCAATAATTCACACAAACCTTGTTCAGTCGCAACATCAGGTAAGTAAGTAGCAGTTCTCTTGTTGCCTTTTTCATTATGGAACTCTATGCGAATCCCATGGACTCCTATCTCCCAATCTAAGTAGTCCACGCCGTCTTCAAAATGCCGCAGTATAGAAACGCTTACATGTAAGCGTGGAAGTTCCTCTCGTGTTATAGGATTAAACCGCGAATCCTTGAAAGCACTGTGAAACACAATTGCTTGTTTGAAAGTATAATCCAAAATTCTAGTCTAGCCAATTTATTTGTTCTATCTTTGGATAAACTATGTAATTTACCTACTGGATGAACAAAAGAGCATAAAAGAATAAAACTGTGTTGAAGTTTATCGAAAGGTGGAACTATCCAGCTAGAATATATATAGTTACCTAGTAGTAGCATATTCCCTAAGTCCTGCATGTAAATGCATGGCATTGAATGTACCAATACAACCGCGTAGTCGCATATCCTTTCCAATAGTCCATGTTACAAACAGGGGACTAGAAAGGCATGAAAGAAAATGTGTTAATGACAAAATAAAATCACAGGACTTCGAAACTTAATTCACAGAACATTAATTCTCTGTTATGAAAAAACATGTACTATTAAATTAAATTCTCAATAATTTTAGTTACACAAGTACAAAACTGCTAAATAACTTTTTGCTTCTTGATCAATATTTATATATATATAAACAATGATTATATTATTATCTCTATATAAACAGTTTGTGTAAACATCATTATAACAAAATGTATGCTAGTGTGATCAATAATAATCTCTCCTAAACCAAAGGAATAAAACAGAGTAAAGTAGTAGAAATATATGATGAATCATGGTACAAATCTCTATCTCTAAGATCTAAAATCTAAGGGACTAACTGAGAAAGTAAAGAGAAACAAAAAATGTTTACATTTCAGTAAATTATTCAGAAGCAAAACAATGCTGGTATCTGGTATAACCTCGACGGAAGGTCAGTAGCATGAGCCAGGCAAAGTAAAAAATTGCAAAAAAATAAAATGCATCCTTCAAGAGACGTTTCTTTGCATTTCGCTTTCACCCCCTCCCCTGCTCTTTATTCTGCGATGGTTAAAGACACAAAAGCACAGCGATGGTTTCAACAAAGAGATGCACTGGCGTGGGTGGAGGAAGAAAAAGGACAGCCACGAAAAGGAAAAAAAAAGATGCCACGATGCAGAATGGGCAAGAGAGACCTGGGGAGGCGGGGCAACGAAGGCGCGCATGGGAAAGGTACGAGCGTGAGAGGGGGGAGAGGGAAGAGGGAAAAGAGAGAGAGAGAGAGAGAGACAGAGAGATGTGGCACGCGACGCATAGTCGGGACAGGGAGGAAGGGATACGTTGGACGCTGAGGTGACTAGCTCAGTAGGTGGATCTAAACTCACAATGCTTCGTTGCTGAAGTTGGGCGGTTTTGGTGGGTCGAGTTGGTGCAGTTGGCAGTAGAGGACGTCGAAGCAGTAGAAACCCATCTCGGGCTGCACGATCGGCGTATTACGTATACGCGTGCCATTCGACAGCACCGCTGTGCCGTTGCATGGTACGCCCGCGGAATTGTTGTTGAGCTTCTGCTTTTTCGTACCGCAACAACCAGCAGCCATGTTACCGTTTCAACCGTCGCCGTCGACCACTGCGGACCCGAACTGCGGACACGAACTTGTATACGTCTCACTATCGTCCGCTCGTCGCGGCCGCCGCCGTCGTCGTCGTCGTCGCTGCCGCCGTTGTTCTCTTCGTTGCCTTAGCGTGCCATATCGCGCGCGCGCCCCACCAGATGGCGCGGCGCGCGTTAAAACAGCTGTTTCATCACCCGCCATTTTCGTCATCCCGTCGTTCTTTTCGCGCCCACATCTTTTAACGCGCTCCAATACGATCGACCGACGTCGAAGCGATGTTTGTTTACTCGTTCATACGCGAGTCATCATTGTATTCATCGTCAGAGCTACATGCAAAGGTTCTTGTGTAAAAATTTATTTATTACCTAGCTCTTCTTTTTTTACAAAAGAAAACTTAGCTTTAAAGCAACTAACTTGACATTTTGAAACCGCAAAGCAGAAAAAAATAATGATTCTTTAACAATTGTTGCGTTTAGCAGAGAAAACAACCTTGTAACTGATTATATTAATATGATTGATTTATACATTTAGATCGAGTGAGAAACTAAGAATAATCATATTGAAGAATTTTATTAAACAATTGTAGAACTGCTTTCTCTGTCGAAACACAACCAATTTGTAATTGCTAACAATTTTAATAATAAATTAATAATAAAATAATGAGATGTAATAAGTAAAATTAAAAAAACACTTTGTTGCAATACACATATATTCGCAACATGTGTAGTATATTACAAATTTCAAATCGAAAAAATAATATTTTCTGTTACTCAAAAAATAATTCCAGAAAATATCAAACTTACAACTTATAAAACATAAAGCGATCTATTCATGTGACATCATTTATTATCATAAATAATTAAAGTAATTAATAATTTACTATAAAATACTTAAGTATTTTTTTATTTAAAGTAATTTATTATAAAATACTTACGTATTTTTTTTATTTAAAATAATCTACATAACGTAGATTTTACAAATATGATTATTTTTCAATTATAGTTAGAGATTGATTTTAATATTTTCAACTTAAATATGTAATATATTTTTTAAACGTTCAATGTTTTTATTTGTCGAAAGTTATCTTAAAAAAAAATCAGATACTTTAATTACGTTTTAAGATCAAATAATAATCGTGATTCGAAAGCATGAAGGCAAATTATACAACATTTACAATAAAATTTAAGCAGAAAATCTTTCCTATGGCCGAAAATGTCTTTTTTATATTCATGATATATTTTAATTTTGTTAATAATTCAAATACTATATATTCATATTTTCATATTGTAGGTCCATTTTCAAATTTATTACTCATATGTTACGCTAATCAAATTAAAAATTTTTTAATAATAATTTAAAAATATACATGGAACGAAGTATCGTCCAGCATCCATCAGTTAACCTAGATCTAAAATTTAAAAACCTGCTTTTTTTTGTCGTAATATATGAATAATAAACTTGAAAATATATGCGTGAATAGTATAAAAACATAAACATATAGTATTTGAGTTTTTAACAAAATTCAAGTATAACATGGGAAATATAAAAGACATTTTCGTTTACGGAAGGAATTTAATCTAGCGTTACAGGTTTATATACAAGACTAGCGTTCTCGGCGAGTGAAAGCGACACAAGTCTAAGCGAACGTTTCAATTTATATTTCCTCAACTTCTCCGCAACACCGTAAAGTCGTGCGATTACTTACCGTGACAGCTGCGAAGAGACGTGCCGACTGTTGAGCGTCGATTCCATCGCGCACCCCCGGTCGCATTTGCGAGGGTGGAAGCGGCGATACCACGCAACTACGTCGCACATGGAGTACGAACCGGCGTGAACGAACGCGAACGAACACATACGTCGTTGTTGAAATGATGCGCGATTCCTCTTAAACTGTTAATTTCTCGCACGGGATGAGACGAGATGCATCAGGGGGAAAAAACGTACACGAACTGTCGAGAACTTCGTCTGAAACACAACACGCGCAATATGTCGACGCCCGTGGCGACCACCGAGCAATCGCAGCGATTTACGAGATTTCACTGTCAATTTTCCCATACGAGGAACTGTCACGGCACGTAAATACAGCGATGACGCGCTCGCCGTGTATGCACTTCATCTGCATGCATGAAAAACGCGTTGAACCGTGTAGGATTCGACGCCGCAGCCGATACGCGCGTCTACGATGCGACGCGACTCCGATCGGTCTGAGATAGTTGGACGCGAGTGCGTCGCGACGCCGGTTGCATCGCACTCGCGCGCGGTATACTACGGCGCCATCTCTCTTACACAACTATGCCATTGCACAATAAAAATTTATATATATAATGTATACATATATATATATATATATATATATATATATATATACATATACAGGGTGTCCCGGGAAGAAAGATTTATTTTCCAGACAGTATCGGTTATTTTAAACGAAAATGTTCATACGTGCACACAAAAAATATTCTATTGATAAGAAAAGTGATAATTTTTTATTTTCTTTTTTTTAGTAACAGTTATCTTTAATAAATAATATTAATTTGAGAAAAACTCATTAATATGTATTCAAAACAAGAATTCATTTTTTTAAAAGAATACTATAAGATTGATCGAAGAAGTGACTTTGTATAATAAGCAAATTGAATTTGTTTTAATTTAATGATTTTGAAAAATTATATTAGGATTTATATAGAACATATTTTTAATAAATCTTATGCTGATCTTGTGATGAACTTCTTTATTGTAGATTTACGGATTTATGAACTTTTGAAATTATGAACTTGAAACAAATAATTATTATTCACGTACAGTATGTATTTTTTTGTGTCCTATTTCGAATGATTTCCAAGATAGTTTGAACAATAAAATTTTTGAAAATTTATTATAAAGTTTAAAAAAATCTCTAAAGTAAATGTATTTAAAATAAATTACATTGGGTGCATCCAGAAGCACGCTCAGTGAGCTCTTGCATCTGATTAGCATATTCCATATTTATTATTCTAAAAATATAGACCAAACAGGTACAAGAGCTCATTGAGTACTCAGTGAGCAATCATGCTTCTGGATGCACTATTTATTATTATTCCAATATTTTTAAAAATCGTTGGCACTTCTTTTTATTTACAATTAGTTGATTTAAAAAGTGTGTCACTTGAGTAATGAATTATTAGAAAAAGTACGTGTCTATAACAGTAATTTTGCAATTGCACGTTCAAAACTCGGAAACCGTTCGGAATAGGACAAGCATTCATATGAACATTTTTACAATAATCGATAACATCACTACCTAGACATTTTTTTAGGATACTCTAAAATAAATAATAGGGGAACTATAACATATTGGAAATATAAAATAAATAAATGGAAATATAAAATATAAAATAATATAAAATAGAATTCACTTTTAGAGACTATTTGAAAATTAAAATTTTATTCTGAATTCTGATTCAAATTATCTAAACTATTGATGTGAATTTAAATATGAATTATAGATTATCTAAAGTGAGTTTTATGCCTAAATTCTAAATAGAATCATAAGACTCGTAACACATTCTTATTAAGACTTGTAAAAATTTTTAAGTGCTTATATCTACAATATTTTTACAAACAGCTTCTTACTAGCAGCTACAATTTACAAGAAATTTTAAATATTTACGAATAATACTTAAATATTTACGATACATACGCATAAAATACTAATTATAAGTTCTTAAAAGACGTTTTACGAGAACACTTTACGAGTTTTACGATTTTGCTTAGAATTGACCCATAAGTCACTCGTTAACGTATAATTTATTTCGCATTTTAATGAAATGAGTGCGATGGAAAGTTTGATTAAAAAATTGATGGTCTTTGTGCAATTAAGCGCAATAGCAACATATTTTCTAATATTAATACATTAAATTTAGACCATATTAATGAGTACATTGCGCAATTATCAATACTATCGGCTCACGTCAGTGACTTGCCTAATTGTAGCCTCTGTAATTGAGCAATTTCGAAAACTACTGCTTAGAATCAAAAATTACAAGAACTTGTATTCACTTAGTTCTTCGTGCCTAAAAATATTTTAATTTTCGCGAATTTTGGAATACACTTATATAACATATAACAAAATGTTTTACATTATGTCTAAATCTGTATTTTTCAACTACGCTTTTTTACATTTATTGCATTTATTCAAAATAAGAATACGTTTCATTTCGCTGCATTTTTGCATGTGATACTAAATATACATTAAACTTACATATTAAAATATATAAATCATAAAGAGCTTTTTAAATAGAAAAAGAGATAAGGAATAATGCGAAAAGAATTGATTACAATGATCTTTTTATGACAATATAAAAGTTTATTTCACTTTTCCATTGCAATAAAAATTATCTACAGTACCTTGATGTAATTTTTATGAATTCTACTGATTTCTTAATTTAAGGAGAAGATGAGAAAAGAAAGGAGAGGGAGAGGGAGAGGAAGAGGGAAGAAAGAGAGAGAGAGAGAGAGAGAGAGAGAGAGAGAGAGAGAGAGAGAGAGAGAGAGTTACGTTCGCTGTGTCTGACTTATGAATAAATAAAGAATAATCTATAGGTTCGCTGTATTATTAATTTACAAATGCAATCAAAATGAGCGTACATTTGCTTGATATTGTATTAATATTATATTGGTATCAGTTATGATGCCAAGTACAATTTGCTTTGGAAATTATTAATAATTTTCGTCGTGTAATTTCAAGTTATAATAATTATCGAGAATTAATTATCGAGAGAAAGATTAAAAGTACAGTATAAACTATACATGTGAGATGCTTACTCTATGCAATTACAAAATGCGTACATCGAACAGATTTTTGTGGCAGTTTGATAAAATACAAAATGATTTCATTCAGTAAAATTCGCATGATAATTATCAATCTTAAATGTGTTCAATACGATTATATATTTAATTGCATTGCGATAACATTAATGACTTACTTTTTTAGTAAGTGGGTTTTCTTTTGTATTTTCGTAAACTCTTCGACAAACACGAATACAATTTACTTGCAAAATATAATTACACAACGCTAGATAGAATTATTTTCGTACTCATGAAAATGCATCATACATATTAACATTCATACGTATAAACCGTGATAAATGTCTATTACACAAATGGAGTTCCATAGATAGATCAAATGAGCACACATGAATCGACAGTATGTGGCAGTTCGTTGGACGTTTTTTATGCCAAGATTCACAGAAGGCAAGATTTTAGGAACTCGCTAATTATCATCGATGCAAACATTTTACGTAAATAATAATAACGCATACTATAACGGATAAACACAGAGAATAACACATACTACAACAAAGATAAGATATAATAACAATTATTTTATTTATTTCTAACAAATATTGCATTAGTATAAAAGACATAATAAGACGATTAAATTGGCAGTGTTTAAAGCCCGCTACTGAGAATAGCTGGTAATTCAAGGGAAGTAGAATTAATCAGTAGTTTTCGCCGAAAAATCAGTAATTCATTTTTGTATCATAGAATAGGAAAATTAAAATTTGTAAAATATATATTAATAGATACACAGCATAAGATACTGCAAGTTGTGCAACTATCACGAAATTACAATAGCTTATCAATCAAATAACACAAACTCATAATGAGATCTTTTATATATTTTTTCTTTTATGTCTAACTTACATGTCTAATATTTATATCTTTTACTACGTATGATTTCTTTTCATACTTTAATAACTAAATCACAATTAACCACAGAAAATTTATATCATTTCTCTGTAAAACTTACTGTCTTTTTGACGCGATTAAATGCACAACGGATGTATTTTAACAAGATAAAGATCCATTTTTTCTAATACAATTAATGCATAATTTATGTTCTATATTGCACATTCTATACCAATAAATAACATTAACAAAAAGAAATTATATTCTTATAAATTTTGCTAATTTTCACTTGACGTATAAGAATTATATTATATGTCACATACATTGTACAAAAAATGGAATAATTCCGACATCATTTTGTACATTATATCATGTGAAAGCAGGCAGTGAATTTTAGGCGTGATCACTGTCTTATAAAAATGTTCATTACCATTCTTAAATTGTATTATCGATGCAAACAGATTCTTCGCAATATGATGGTAAAGTTAATTGTCATAATGAAAAGGGAACTAAATAAATTTATGCAAAAAATAAAATAAATAATATAGCTACTAAATAATTGAATGAGTAATATAACCAAATTTTTTCATTATTTATCAATAAATCTCCGAAATCGGTAAAATTTGAGGAAATTGTTTTTAAATTTTAAAATATTTCACAACATACATCAATGTAAATATAATAGTTTTAAATTTAATAGTTTTAAATTTTTTAAAATCACTACTTTTTAATACAATATGCAACAATTAGACAATGCCATCATATATGATTTATTATTCATCTCAAGACGGAGTATGCGGTACCATAAATGGGAGGCTGTGTACACTAAGACATAGAAAGACGCACCACTTTAAACAGTGGAAAATTATAACAAGTATCCGCCTCCAATGTCATTTTCGTTTACGTACCCCACGCTCCGTAGCATTCTGCGTTAAGAAACGATGCGGTGGTCGAGGATAAAGCGGCGCAGACGGATAGGACGGACCCGCATTATCCCACCAAATGGGAGGATTATTACGTATCGGTATCATAACTGGGGTAATTGGAGGTAAGGGTAATGGATGTATGAACGTCGAGCGATTCGGTTGCGTGATAATCTGTAAACGTTGTTGACCAGACACGAAAGAATTGTATCGAGCACTATCGTTTTGCAAATGAGGCGAATTGACCATATGAGCGTTGTTATAACGAGCCTCAGCGGATCGTTGGGGCAGGGATCCCTGGCCGGGACCCCAGGCGATCTGCTAGCATCTTCGATTGTGACAATGTGTCATGTAATCCTGATAGCTCACGGTGACCTCCTCGCTTTGATAGCGAGTTAGTTTCAGGCTACGACGGATATCGGGTGTGACTAGGCCTTTGAAGCCACCCTTATGTAGCAGAGAATCTATCGTTTGTATCTGGTCCCATCCTGAATATCAGATTACAGATTATTCCTCGTAAAGATTATACCTCCTCGTGAGAGTTTCCATTGCCTGTTCTATTCTACGGTCGCGGATACGCACCTTGCTCCATAGCTACGCTGGGCAGATAAGTAGCCGTCCGTTTATTACCCTTCTCATTGTGGAATTCTATGCGAATCCCGTGAACACCCACTTCCCAATCTAAGTAGTCAACCCCGTCTTCAAAATGCCGCAAAATTGACACGCTTACATGCAAGCGCGGCAGCTCGTCTCGAGTTATGGGATTGAATCGAGAGTCTTTGAATGCGCTTTAAAACATATAAAAATATGTATTAAAAAGCGCGTGCAAACTATTATGCTAAAGCCTAATCTACAATGTGTTCTTTGCTTCCTGTTGCTTATTTTTTACTTGCCTTTTTTCTTCTTTGCAATCGTTTGTCAACAATCTCTTTTCACGTGTTTCTTGTCTCTTTCGAAGTTTGACAACTTTTACCTCGGACGACAGACAACGAAGAAACTGGATAAGAGGCAAAAAAACAAGAAGTAAATGTGGTAAAAATCAAGAAATAGGAAACAAAGACACACTGCAGATTGAGCTTTAAAATGTTACAATTATTTACATAAATTATGTGCTAAATCTTACATTATGCGTTTATATATATATATATAATATATGCGTGTGTATATAAAACTTATTAATATATAGTAATATATATATGTAATTAGTTTTATACATATATATATAAAATTTATTAATATATATTAATATATTATATTATATATTTATAAATAACTTATATATTTGTTATTTATGTACTATTCTGTCTTTTAATGTGAGAAACCTTGTGTCTCACCTAGTTGTAGCGTACTCGCGTAGCCCAGCATGTAAATGCATCGCATTAAAAGTACCAATACAACCTCGTAATCTCATATCTTTTCCTATTGTCCACGTCACAAATAAAGGGCTGAAAAGACGTATCTGTATTAAAAATTTCATGTTCAGCTACATTTTTTTCTTATTTTTATCAGACATCGAACCATCAGGAATGGAAAGAGGAAAGGAAAATGTGCCAGAGTAAAATGAGCCACAGTACATCAATTCTTTTCTATTTAGTAAGATTTCAGTCTTGTACAGGTATAATGCAAAATAAATAAATACGAGATTCTTTCACGAAGTATAATAAAAATAAATATAATACAAAAGCAACAATATAAAAATAATTTTTATTATCTTTCGCTATAAATTTTTCCGAGGATAAAATTGGAAAAATATATATAATGTGGGAATATTTAGATAGACAAAAGCGATTTTCATCATTAATAATAATTTATCCAAATATGTCGTAGCAAACGTAACGTCCTTAGGTGGCCTACATAGTTGGCATAGCACTGTACAATGGGGTAAATCGAAGCACGCCGCGATAATGCGTGCATCGCGCGCCGACAGATAATCTGTACACACGAGGACCAAACAATGCACCAACAATGCAGCCTAGCGATTTTACAGATAAATTTCTAGATCGGAGGAAATTAAGATCAAAGATCGATTCGGAATTCGAAATTCATAACACACAAATTAAATGTAAAGATAAGAATCAAACATAACAATTGGAATAGAATATTATATTTTTTCTGTATACCTCTGTCACGTCGAAATTCAATGTTATAAAAATATCGCCGCGGTTTCGATCAAGCTTCGCGTGACAGAGACGACCTGTCATTCGAACAAGTGAAAAGACAACAGCTGACGCGACGCTCGAGTGAGACGGACAGATGGACAGATGGACAGACGGACAGACGGATGTGGAGGAGAAAGAGAGAGGGGGGAGAGAGAGAGAGAGAGAGAGAAACAGAGGGTACGTAAAAACCACTCACAACGCTTCGTTGCTGAAGTTGGGCGCCTTCGGCGGGTCCAGCTGGTGCAGCTGGCAATAGAGCACGTCGAAGCAGAAAAAGCCCATCTCTGGTTGGGCGATCGTCGCAGGTTTTCTTGATTGAGGAGTACCGTGCCGTATGGCAGTACCGTCGCACGGCGACAGGCTCGGCGCCGCGCCACCGCCACCGCCCAGCCTCTGCTTCTTCGCGCCGCAGCAACCAGCAGCCATGTTCCTCTTAGAGAGGTCACCAGCGGGCACCGCCGTCCTAGCCCTTCTTCTAACACCTCGTCTACGATCTTCCTCGTCGTACCGTATCCAACGTCGACGTCGTCGCCGACGCGTGCCGGATCGCGCCCGCGCTCCGCTAGATGTCGAGCTGACGGTAGCGTGAACAGCTGTTTCATTACCCGCCATTTGTAGTACGGCGTCCGCGTCATCGCGCCATTGATAATTAGCGGTTATCCCCGCCACACGCTGTTACCGCTGCGCCTCGTCACTTGCCCGGGTTGCTCTGCGGATCATGCGCGAACGAAATCAATGGATGGTGGCGTCCTCTGCGTCCTTTTAAATGTCCTATCAGAGAGATGTGATTTTTAATTTTTGTAATTTAAAAGTAGTATTATATACTATTTAGTATTGTACCAATTCATTCGTTCCGCTGCATTATTAAACATGCAAATTTTTTAACTTGGAAATTGGAATAGCGAAAATTTGAGTTCAAGTGTCAGAATTTTGAGAAATTGCAGAGAGGAAATTGAGGAGCGGGAGAGGGGGGGGGGGAGAAGAATTCAAAGATGACGAGTCTGAAATGTGATATAATATATTTATTTGAAAGAGAATAAGAATACCCAGTAAAAAATTGTTCATGCCTAAATAAATATGTATAAATATACATAAACACGCACATAAATATTCACAAACATTTATAATTATATATGAAATATGTTCATATATCCTTCTTTCTTTTGTAAAATTACTTTTTAATATAATGAAAATAATAATATAGTAATATGTGAAAACAAAATAAAAAATAATAAAAGAGATAATTTTCGCATTATTTGTTTTAGAAAAGAAAAACAAATTTGGAAAAATTAAAAAAAAAATTGCTCATATATAATTATGCATAATTTTATATATAATTATATATAAGTAATTTTTTTACATTTCTTTAAACTTGATTTTTTTCTAAAACAAATACGTTATCTTTTTAATTATTTTTATTTTTAATGTTTTCATATTACTATTATTATTTCTATTACACTAAAAAGTAATTTTACAAAAGAAAGAAAGATATATGAACATGTATGGACATATTTCATATAAAATTTTATATGTTCGTGAATATTTATACATGTTTATGCATGCTTATACATAATTATACGTATTTATGCATAAAAAATGTTTTACCGGGTAGTAATTACTTTTTAATCCAAATAAAGCTGTGCGGTATATTTCAAAATTATGTTTATGTGGACTTTTTACGTATTTTTTATATACATTTACACAAATTTTTTTCACGTAGATATAATACAGTCATGTAAAATGTGTAAATTATTATAAATTAGACAACATAAAATAATCAAGTTTTATGATTGTTAATTTGATTTTAATATTGATAAATAAAAATATGTAAGCGAAAAATAATAAACTATTGCAATACAGTGCAATGACAAAGAACAAGATTTCGATGATCCATACCCATGTATAGATTGTTTACACAGATGATATATAAAACATACATTTACATAATTTACATTGTGTGCATAGATGTTATAAATTATTATTTAATGCGTAAACTCCACTTTAATCGATAATGTAAAGTATATTTTAACATGATAAAATGATAGTTTGATTGATTGCTATACGTGATTGATTTAACTTTTTTATATTTTCAAATAAAATATAGTAAGTTTTCACAACATATGTTTTCTTTCTATAATAAGCTGTTACTTAAGTTTTAAATCTTATAATGAATTCGGTCACACGCATTACACTGGATCAATGTATATTAAAAATTACTTTACATATATATATAAAATATCTCAATGCAATGATACAATGTAATCAACTTTGACAACGATATATATATATATATATTTTTTTTTTGTTAAATAATGTATCATTAGTAGATAGTAGCTAGATTGCTTAAAATATTTATATATCTACTTTTACATTTAACTTTGCTAATTTTATGTAAAGTTTTTTGTATGGACTGATTTAGCGTAGTGCAAGTGACCAAATTCGTTATTAAATCGTAAGAAATCGATTAATCATAGTCAAATGTAAGAAGATTAATCGACTATGATTGGTCAATTTCTTAAGACTTAAAGCTTAGGTAATGGCTTATTGTAGAAAGCCTCTAATTTGTATTAGAATTTGAAATAGAATTCTGCTTTTAATTTTAAATCATATAAAATCCATTCTACAATTGCTTAAACCTAGTTATAAGTGGTTATAAGAATTGATCAATCAATTCGAAAATGTGGAGAATGTTCGATTGTAATTAATCAATTCTTATAACTGTAGTCATTTACAATTAGGCATACACAATTGTAGGATGCGCATTAAGATGCAAAATTTTCGAAGAATTAAAATATATGTATATATATAATACATATATTAAATATATAAGTATATCAAAATGCACGATATATACAGTTATAAATAGAATTCTATTCTGAAAAAACATCTGACACAAATTGTAGATCGTTTAAAATGAGCTTAAGAGAACGCCTACGAGCATCATTATCGAGTAATTATTCGCCTCATTGCATCTATTGTATAAAATTGTTACATCCAGGTAGCACATGACATTAATACAACGTATACGAACGTCTTAAGAATACGTGTACATTCCTAAAATGTTCTATGAACATCTTTAGAAATTTGGTGCAGTATGGGTACAATATCAAAAGTTGCCTCTATTATGTTTTTGGCAGAGTTTCATAAATTCAAACATAAACGTATTAATATACATACATATAATAATAGATAATAACATTATTATTACCATTAATCGTATTTTATTAATATTCTGAGATAAATCTTCTCAAGTACAGTCTGTTACATTTATGTTCATTAATATAATGTAAACATATTAATAAATGGATTATATAGCATAAATAGCGTTTATAAACTACAATAAAACGATGGATGTTTAGACAAAGACACTTGATTAAATATTTATCACAATGTATCATTGGTCATAAATTGTCTCATCAATGTTCGGCCAATATTGGCGATACATTGATTCCCAAATTGATATATGCTTTTAGATCATCCAATCAGCATTTTAGATCTGGAAGAATACATTAACAGCGAGCGCTCACTCAACTGTTGAGTCCGCTGAACGCAGCCAATATTTACCTTGTTATTTTTAATTTATTTTTTTATTTGGACCTTAATTATTATATTCATATTCATGTAATAAGGCCCAAAAAACCCTCAGACATTAACAAATTTTTTTTTTTCGTTGATTTACAAATATTCTATTAGGTGTTGGAATTAATTCGTAGCGTTTTTTAATGAAAGAATGTTATTTATTTCACATGAGCATTAAAAAATACATTAATGAAAGTACTTCCCATCACTTGTAAAACGCTACGAATTAATTCCAACACCTAATATATAAACAATATATTTTATTTTTGGGAATGAATGAGATAAAGATTTGATTTTCACTTAGTTTATTTCAATATCCCTATAAATAGAAGTAAAAAAAGAAATAAATTAGATGGGCCTTATTCGGTTCAGGTCTTATTTGTGACAAATGTCACATTTATGTATATGCTCGGACATTGATATCACCATACAAAGAGTTCCTTTTCTTTAAGGAGGTTCTCGCGTTTGATGAAATATAAGACAAATCTATTATATACATGTAATATAAAAGATAATAATATCAATAATATCTAGAAAAAATTTCATTGTATATTACATTGACTTTTACTGTACCATTTTGATAATATTTAATTATAAATTTATAGAATTTTACATTACAAGTTCGAGATTTAACCTTATTCTCTTTTAAATTGAGACTCTTGCGTATAAGACAGCAATGTAAAAATCGTTATAATTATACAATAAACACTTAAGTTTGTTCTTGTAAAATTTCATTTAAACTGACTGTATAGTTTACAAGAAATTTATATTCTTTAATATAAAAAAGCTAAAATATATGTCAAATGGACGTACATCAAACGAGCATCTTATAACTTTTATTTTGTCATTTCGAAAATATTTAGTAACATATAAAGTTAACAATAATTGTATAATAAAATATTGTTAGTAACTTTTTTATTCCATTATTTTAATTATTTCATATTATATTATGAATAAACTGTCTATTGACTAGAAAGTGACGCGAGAACCTCCTTAATTATAAGCAAAACGTTGTGACAAATATATAAACTAAACTACATAGTGTTTTGTAAAATAAGAATATAAAGCTACAATAACATGAATTACGGAAATTAATAACTACGTTTTCATAATTATAGAAATTACTTACTTACGGAATATTACACGACCACGACGTATTAGTTTTTTCCTGTTTTTCCACAAACAGAATGAATAATGATTTATGAATCGATACAATCGAGTCGTACGGATCGCCTACTCGAATTACCACTGTCATCTGTTAAATTAATCGTATAATTATATGTATACAAACAGCGAGTCGTCCTACTTTGGGAAACGGCCTAAATTGAGTCTAGTTACCTTATAAAAAATTTGTAATTTTTCATAACTCGTTCATTTTATTAAGAATTACGTATAATTATATCCTTAATCAAAATGCTGCGCTATTTCGTTGATCGTAGATCAAATCTAAGATCGTTGTTTACTCGACGCCCTGTAGAATGGCGCGCGACTGCGCAGACCGGCGTCGGAGCCGCGCCGCGAAAATTGCGAAAACAAGTCGTGGCCGCGTAATGACGTCGCCGGCAGCAAGGGCACCTGGATTCCTAGTTCCTTACCTGGCACCTGCTGCCTACGATGCACCGCCGTGAATGCCCGAGGCGTGACAGCGACATATCAACCTGGCAACGTGCGTGCGTTCGCGGCCGCTCGCTAAGCTGTCACGCGCGCAACGAGTATTTTGACACGGTACTTCAGTGTCCCCGTACGTCGTATTCTCGTTGCCGGAACGAATGGAACGGAAGTGAAACGGCCGCGCGATTGGGAATTCGGAAGTGCGATCGCGTGTGGAGAAGTGACGTAAGTTGACGATTCACCGGCGCGAATTCGATCGATCGGCCATGCCCGATCCGATCGGCGTGCAACGAGTCCGGGAATGCGCGAACCCGGTACGGCGACTCGCCTCCTGCAACACGCAAGACAAGATTTTCAAAGCGTAACCCACCGCGCCGAGGAAAACCGCAAGTCGTGGTGACCGTGGCGAGTGGTGTGATTTTTCGTATTTTTCATATGAGAGACGAGACAGCAAAAAGGTGATTACTCTCGCAGGATTTTATC